TGGAAACAAAGATTTTATGGTGGGACAGTTGACGAGCAGTGGAGGACTTTCAAAGCAATTTTTCAAAGTGCTCAGCAAAAGTATATTCCAGTAAAAAGGAAGGACTGTAAGAAAAGGGGTAATCTGCCATGGGTGTCTAAAGAAATAAGAGAGGCTATCAAATTGAAAGAGAAGGCATACAAAGTGGCCAAAAACAGCATGAAACTAGAAGATTGGGAAAACTTTAAAGGTCAACAGAAAGCCACAAAAAGAGCTATAAAGAAAAGTAAGATAGAACATGAGAAAAAACTAGCACAGAATATAAAGACAGATAGGAAAAGTTTCTATAAATATATAAAATGAAAAAGAGTGGCTAAAGTAAACGTTGGCCCTTTAGAGGATGAGAAGGGGAATTTAGTTATGGGATATGATGAAATGGCCGAGGCATTGAACAGGTATTTTGTATCGGTCTTCACAGTGGAGGACACTAATAACACGCCAGTAATTGACAAAGAGACGAGGTAGGTGAGGACCTGGAAACAATCATTATTATGGAAGAGGTAGTGTTGGGCAAGCTAATGGAGCTAAGGATTGATAAGTCTCCTGGCCCTGATGGAATGCATCCCAGGGTACTAAAAGAGATGGCGGGAGAAATAGCAGGTGCACTGGCGGTAATTTTCCAAAATTCGTTGGACTCTGGGGCAGTCCCAGCAGATTGGAAAACAGCAAATGTGACGCCACTGTTTAAAAAGGGAATTAGACAAAAGATGGGGAATTATAGACCGGTTAGCTTAACCTCTGCAGTGGGGAAGATGCTTGAGTCTATTATCAAGGAAGAAATAGCAAGGCGTCTTGATAGAAATTGTCCCGTTGGGCAGACGCAGCATGGGTTCATGAAGGGCAGGTTATGCTTGACAAATCTTTTGGAATTGTATGAAGACATTATGAGCAAGGTGGACAATGGGGACCCAGTGGATGTGGTGTACCTAGATTTCCAAAAGGCCTTCGACAAGGTGCCGCACAAGAGGCTACTGCATAAGATAAGGATGCATGGCATTAAGGGTAAAGTATTAGCATGGATAGAGGATTGGTTGACTAACAGGAAACAAAGAGTGGGGATAAATGAGTGCTATTCTAGCTGGCAGCCAGTGACTAGTGGTGTGCCTCAGGGATCGGTGTTGGGACCGCAATTATTTACAATTTATATAGATGATTTGGAGTTGGGGACCACGTGTAGAGTGTCAAAGTTTGCAGATGACACTAAGATGAGTGGCAGAGCAAAGTGTGCAGAGGACTGTGAAACTTTGCAGAGGAACATAGATACATTGAGTGAGTGGGCAAAGGTCTGGCAGATGGAATACAATGTAAATAAATGTGAAGTCATACATTTTGGTAGGAGTAATAGTAAAAAGGATTATTACTTGAATGGTAAAAAGTTGCAGCATGCTGCTATGCAGAGGGACCTGGGTGTCCTTTTGCATGAATCACAGAAGGTAGGTATGCAGGTACAACAAGTAATTAGGAAGGCAAATGGAATTTTGTCCTTCATTGCTAAAGGGATTGAGATTAAAAGCAGAGAGGTTATGTTGCAGCTGTACAAGGTGCTGGTGAGGCTACACCTGGAGTACTGTGTGCAGTTTTGGTCTCCTTACTTGAGAAAGGATGTACTAGCACTGGAGGGAGTGCAAAGGAGATTCACTAGGTTGATTCCGGAGTTGAGGGGGTTGGCTTATGAGGAGAGACTGAGTAGATTGGGATTATATTCATTGGAATTCAGAAGATTGAGGGGGGATCTTATAGAAACATATAAAATTATGAAGGGAATAGATAAGATAGAAATAGAGAGGATATTTCCACTGGCAGGTGAAGCTGGGACAAGAGGGCAAAGCCTCAAGATTAGAGGGAGTAGATTTAGGACTGAATTGAGAAGGAACTTCTTCACCCAGAGGGTTGTTAATCTATGGAATTCCTTGCCCAGTGAAGTAGTTGACGCTACTTCAGTAAACGTTTTTAAAGATAAGGTAGATTTTTTTTGAACAGCAAAGGAATTAAGGGATACGGTGAGAACGCAGGTAAGTGGATCTGAGTCCACGAAAAGATCAGCCATGATCTTACTGCATGGCGGACCAGGCTCGAAGGGCCGGACAGCCTAGTCCTGCTCCTAGTTCTTATGTTCTTATGTTCTTTGGGTGAAGAAATGTCCCTGAATCCTGAGACTGTGAGCCCTGGTTGTGGACACACACCCACCATCTGGCATTCATCAGCCCCATTTACTGCTGCCCCAATGAACTCCTGATGCCAGTCTTCAGCAGCAGGACCCTGGTGTGACTCCCTGTCTTGTTTGCAGTATTCTCATGTCCGATGATTTGCTATGTTTTTGCCACCCTCTGCAATACGCTCAGTGCCAGTTTGTGAGTGTCAGAGTGACTGGCTGCATTTCTTCATCATTAATCACTTTCTCTTCAACCAGATCTTGCTTCTGTACCATTGGTTGGTCAGCTGTAGTTTTTGGAGATCTGAAAGGAGCAGGTACAAGGGTAGGCGCGTGGTTAGAAAAAGACAAGCAGTCTATACTGAGACCATTTACAGCTTATAAATCAAAGATTTCAGGATGACAGAGAAGTGAGAAGGAGCAAAAGAGATGAGTACATTATCATAGAGTGATAAAGTCATACAGCACAGAAACAGAAACTTCGGTCTAACCGGCCTATGCCAAACATAATCCCAAAGTAAACCAATCCCACTTGCCTGCTCCTGGTCCATATCCCTCCAAACCTTTCCTACTCATGTACTTATCCCAAGTGTCTTTCAAACTTTGTAATTGTACTCGCAACCATCACTTCATCAGGAAGTTCATTCCATACGCGAACCACCCTCTGTGTAAAAATTTACTCCTCATGTCTTCTTTAAACTTCTCTCCTGTCACTTTAAAAATGTGCCCCCTAGTCTTGAAATCCCCCATCCTAGGGAAAAGACAATTACCGTTAACTTTATCTATACCCCTCATTATTTTATAAACTTCTATAAAGTGCAATCATTTCAGACATAACAAGGTGTTTTAGATGCCGCTAAGGCAATAATGCACCTCCACCTGCCCCCTGCAGTTGGGTGTCACGTTGTTCTGTAAAACAGACAGGGTGATCTATCAGTCAGTCTTGTGCAACGTGTTTAGGAGATGTCTGACGTGCTGTCAGTATATGCAAGCCTTGAGTTGTGCAAGACTTGCAGTGGCGCAAAATGTGTTAAAATGTAATGAAGCAAAAATGTGAGGCATGAGTCATTTGTAACAGAGATTGTCAGTGGGTGAGTGATACAGGCGTGGTGAACAGAGCACTGTGCAAGGCTAGTGGTTCAATCGTAAGCAGAAGGCATTTGTGGATAAAGTCATTGACCTTGACTACTCTTATGAGGTCATTAAACCTCTTCCTGCAATGTATCCATATCCTTTGATGATACTCACCAGTATGGACAATGTTAGCAATCTGTTTCTATTGCCTTCACAAAGTTTGTCTGGACTGCTCCAGGACCTCACTGTATAGACGGTCTCTCTCCTCCAATCCAACTTTATTTATCAAAGATTCCATACCTGTGTCAGAGAACTGAAAGGTGTACTCTGCCCTGTCACAGCATATTAACTGCTTGTGAAGATATGGAACACTTTTCCAGTCTTCTTCAGATACACTTTCACGACCTGCTGCACCACAACACATCCACCTGTTGAAAGGTGCAGACTGAATTGATATGTTGTTTCTTGAAAAAACTCGAGTTGAGCCATTCAATCATTTAACAGCACATTTGGAGCTGTGCTGTATGCTGCTATTGTGTAAATGAGCAGACAGGATGACATTTGCATGCTGTCTACATGTAAAGGGCTGACTGCAGGTTAATGCTGCATCATGAGTCCCATGTCAGCTTTTGTCAGCGATCAAATTTAGCCTTGATGGTGTTTTTCCAACTCTGGAAAAGATCAGTAGCTTACAGTGAAGTCATACATATATCAGTTTTTACTTATATCCATCCACTGGTTAAAAGAAATAGGCAGCCACTCTTGAGCATAGTTAAATAGATTGCATGCATAAAGTTGGATTTGATTCATAACAGGCCAGGTTTATTTTCAAAGAAGCAGAAATATTAATGATCTTCTCAACCCCATCAGTGATGAGAATGTGGAATTCACAACCACAGTAGGTGTTTGATGTGAATCATTTAAAGGCATTTAAGGAAAAGCCAAACCAGCATCTGAGGGAGAAAGGAATGAAAAGGCATTATGGCAGATTTAGGTGAGGAAAGACGTAATCCAGTAAAATCACTGTAAATCAAAACATGTTCCTAAATGTTGCACAAGTTCCATCTCTAGCATGTAATTCACATCCCTTATATTTAGGAAAAAATACTTTTGCAGCTGTTCTACAATAGTATTGTGCATTCAGCACTTTGGAAGCTAAATGTAATAATCAAGAGGGTTTTAATTTAACTCATATAATGCTGACAATCATTTCTGCATATTTCCAATGGCCAAGCCTATAAAGTATGAGTAAATGTTTATAACTTTTTATTGCACTGCAAGTATATTAAAGGCAAAATCACGTTCAATTCCTTCTCTTTATACTCAGGATATTGAGCGGATCATCTCCAGGCTCCTTACATATTGTTGCTTTTGACAGGAACGACTGTTCAAAGGGTTGTGGACCTGAAAAGACTGGAGAAGCCCTGGCTATGGAGACAGTGAAAAACTTTACAATGATTGATTTGTTCTGTCCTGAACATGCCACCAACTGCAATGACACATCCTGTCTGTTGCCTATTGACGATTTTAACGAGTCTATGAGCCTTATTTTAAGTACTGTGCTGACAATCCTGTTGGCATTGGTGATGTTTTCCATGGGTTGTAATGTTGAAGCCAAAAAGCTTTGGGGCCATATTAAGAAGCCATGGGGAATATGCGTGGGCTTTCTTTGTCAGTTCGGCATTATGCCCCTCACTGCCTTTCTGTTGTCAACAGCCTTTCAAATACATCCTGTCCAAGCGGTAGCAGTATTAATAATGGGATGTTGTCCAGGTGGAACAGGTTCAAACATTATGACTTACTGGATGGATGGAGACATGGATCTTAGGTAAGTCAATAATGTCATCTCAGTTTGTTTTTCCAATATGCTCCCGAGTAACCCAGTATATTAACTCGATATTCTAGCAAAATATTACATACAGTCATTTCCAAAATGACATGTATCTGTTTTTCATATACTATTACCATCTAACATTAGCTTGTTCCTTCTGGAGGATTTGTACAGTTATTAGAAATTGCTATTAACCTGAAAACTGCTATAAAATATAAATCGATTAATTGGTAGCTTCTCTATTGTCACATTGTGATCTATATTGTTGACAACCATCATCAAAGTGTTTTAGACCATGTGAAATAATAGCTCATTGGTCAAGCTGTGCTGCCTTTGTGTCAGCCAGCCCGTGATTTCCCCCTCAATCATTTCAATCGGCTGACAATCTCAAACTGGTGATTATAGGACACATCAATCAGCAAGCCACATGTATCAGGTATAGTTTATACACTTGCACCTGTAGGAGCTGTATGTACTTACTCAGCACAGCAAAAATGACATTCCAGATTTATAGTAACATTATATATAATGTGATGCCAATATTTATTTTATTCTGTATTAAATCTGTCTGTCGTGTGAACTGCATATCATGATAGGACAGAAAATTTATATAATCATGTTGCCTACACATTAAAATATCATTCAGTTGATAAGAACAAATTGAAATCATTAAAGCTATCAGATTGAACTGATAATATATAATATATTTGATTTGATTTATGATTTATTGCCACTTGTACTCTACAACGAACAACACAGTACAACACTGTAAAAAGCTTCAACTGTTGCCATTTTGAATATTTTAAGAATAAAAAGATGAAGCTGAAACAAAGTCCATCTTCATTCTGCTGTCTCCACTGTGGGTCCTGAGCCCTGAGCCAGCTGACCAATGACATCCGCGCCACCACCTGCGCCAGACCCACCAATGTCAGATTCGCTACTCTCCAGGTGCAGTCTCTTTGTTCCTGGGCCCGATGGCGGGTCCCGTGCTGGACCCCCACTCGCCCCAAAACCAGGATGGGACCTGGCTCCACTGTCATCGTCCCCTCACCGATAACCAGGCGACCCTGGCTCTACTGACAGGCCAGACTGCCAACTTGACAAGAGTCCCATTCTGGCCACCCTCGTTATAGTCACATAATATATACAGTACCATTCCTAATGAAATATTTCAATATAAAGAGGCTATTCAGCCCATCAAGTCTGCACCAACCCTCTTTGGAGGGTTAGAATATGGGAGGAAACCCACACAGACACGGGAGAATGTGCAAACTCCACACATACAGTCGTCTGAGGCTGGAATCAAATCTGAGTCACTGGAGCTGTGAGGCAGCAGAGCTAACCACTGAGCCACTATGCCACACTTTTAATTGGTTAATTTTAGTTAGTTGTAAGATGAAATTTTCAGCAATGTGCGATTAAATCAAAGCTAATCTATTAGAATTTCACTATTACCTGTCTGCCTGCATTATGTACCATTTCAGAACCAGTTTTCTTTTCTTTCTCTGCTCCAGACTCCGACACCCACTGTGATCCAGTCATACACCCAAAGGTGCTCCGCAGTCCTTGTATCTATACCTTCACAGTGTTAACAAGATTCCCAGCGGAATATAAATTCTATTCTTATATGGCCTAGCCATAAGCTTTGACCCATCTTCTCTCCATATTCACTGATGGACTTATCATAGAGTCACAGAAACTGATCCTTTGGTCCGATCAGTCTACACCAAACATAACCCCAAACTAACATAATTATACCTGACTGCTCCTGGCCCATATACCCCCAAACTTTTCCTATTCATGTACTTATCTAGGTGTCTTTTAAATGTTGTAACATTGCCTGCATCCACCGCTTCCTCAGGAATTTTATTCCAGACGCGAATATAAGAACACTTCTCAACTTCCTACGCTCCAGTGGAAAAATGTCCCAGCCTATCCAGCCTTTCTTTATAACTCAACCCTTCCATACCTGGCAACATCCTGGTGAATCTCTTCTGAACCCTCTCCAACTTCAGAGCATCCTTCCTATAACTGGGTGGCCAGAACTGGACACAGTATTCCAGCCAAGGCCTCACCAATGACCTGTACAACCTCAACATTACATCCCAACTCACATACTCAAAGGTCTGAGCAATGAATACAAGTGTGCTAAACGCCCTTTTAACAATCCTGTCGACATGTGACGCAAACTTCAAGGAATTACATACCTGAACACCTATGTCACTCTGTCCTGCAACACTACCCAAGGCCCTACCATTAATTGTTTAAGTCCTGCTGCCGTTCGTTTTACCAAAATACAACACCTTGCATTTGTCCAGATTGAACTCCATCTGCCATTTTTCAATCCATTGGCCCATTTGATCAAGATCCCTTTGTAATCTTAGAAAACAGTCTTCATTGTCTACTATGCCACCAATTTTGGTGTTGTCTGCAAACTCACTAACCATGCCTTCTATATGTTCATTCAACTCATTTATATAAATGACAAACAAAAGAGGACACGGAACCGATCCCTGTGGAACACTGCTGGTCACAAGCCTCCAGCCTGAAAAACAACCACATTCTACACACCCACTACCCACAATAACAACCAAAACAGAATCCCCCTCATCCTCACGTACCACCCCACCAACCTCTGAATCCAACGCATCATCCTCCGACACTTCCGCCATCTGCAATCTGACCCCACTACCAAAGACATTTTTCCCTCCCCACCCTTATCTGCTTTCCGGAGGGACCACTCTCTCTGTGACTCCCTTGTCCGCTCCACACTCCCCTCCAGCCCCACCACACCCGGCACTTTTCCCTGCAACCGGAGCAAGTGCTACACCTGACCCTACACCTCCTCCCTCACCCCCATCCCAGGCCCTAAGAAGACCTTCCACATCAAACAGATGTTCACCTGCACATCTGCTAATGTGGTATACTGTATCCGCTGTTCCCGTTGTGGCCTCCTCTACATCAGGGAAACCAAGCGGAGGCTTGGGGACCGCTTTGCGGAATACTGACGCTCAGTTCGCAACAAACAACTACACCTCCCAGTCACGAACAATTTCAACTCCCCCTCCCACTTCTTGGACGACATGTCCATCCTGGGCCTCCTGCATTGCCACAATGATGCCACCCGAAAGCTGCAGGAACAGCATCTCGTATTTCACTTGGGAACCCTGCAGCCTAAGGGTATCAATGTGGACTTCACAAGCTTCAAAATCTCTCTTCCCGCGACCGCATCCCAAAACCAGCCCAGCTCATCCTAACCGTTCCTCCCACCTCAAGCCCCACCCCCATCTCCTACGCACTAACCTCATCCCGCCTCCTTGACCTGTCCGTCCTCCCTGGACCGACCTATCCCCTCCCTAACTCCCCACCTACACTCACCTTTACTGGCTCCAACCCCGCCTCTTTGACCTGTCTGTCTCCTCTCCACCTATCTTCTCCTTTATCCATCTTCTATCCGCCTCCCCCTCTCTCCCTATTTATTTCAGAATCCCCTTCCCCTCCCCCATTTCTGAAGAAGGGTCTCGATCCGAAACGTCAGCTTTCCTGCTCGGCCTGCTGTGTTCATCCAGCTCAACACCGTGTTATCTCACATTCTTCTCTTCCCTTTCTGCTGTCTTCTAGGCTATGAAATAATTCACATTTATATTTGTTGATATTAAATTTCAATTACTATCTGTCTTCACAACTGCAGACATCAATTGTTTCCAGTGCTCTCCGTATTTTACACAAATATGTATCAATGAAACAAAAGGTACGAGCTGCAATGAAAATGTTTAAACCATATAAATGATGCTATTTCATAAATTAAACTTGTGCAATAATTAGGAGAGTTTTACCCCATTACGGTTATCGGCCAATGGTGATATTTAGATGAGTTTTTCTATGGAATTATAGAAAATTTAAAGCACAAAACAAAGCTATTTGACCCATCATATGGTCAGTGTAGTGAGTATAGGAGTTGGGAGGTCATGTTGCGACTGTACAGGACACTGGTGAGGCCACTTTTGGAATATTACATTCAATTTTGGTCTCCCTGCTATAGGAAAGATGTTGTGAAACTTGAAAGGGTTCAGAGAAGATTTACAAGAATGTTGCCAGGGCTGGAGGGTTTGAGCTAGAGGAAGAAACTTAATGGCTGGGGCTATTTTCCCCGGTGCATCGGAGGCTGAGGAGTAATCTTTTAGAGGTTTATAAAATCATGAAGGGCATGGATAGGGTAAATAGACAAGGTCTTTTCCCCGGGGTAGGGGAATTCAAAACTAAAGGCCATAAATTTAGGTTGAGAGAGGAAAGATTTAAAGGGAGCTAAGGGATAGCCTTTTCACGCAGAGGGTGGTGCTTGTATGGAATGAGCTGCCAGAGGAAGTGGTGGAGGGCGGTACAATTACAACATTTAAAAGGCATCTGGATGGGTACATGAATAAGAAGGGTTTAGAGGGATATGGGCCAAATACTGGCAAATGGGACAAGATCAGTTCACGATATCTGGTCAGCATGGACAAGATGACCAAAGGGTCTGTTTCCGTGCTGTACAGCTCTATGACTCTATGTCTGAAGCAGGCAAAGATCAAGCCACTAATCCCCTTTTTTTGGCATTTAGTCCATAGCCCTGCAGGCTGCAGCTGCTGAGACGCATGTCAACAAGTCTAATTTATATTTCTAACATCATCAGTATTCAAACATACTGAGCAATATGAATAAAATGTAAACACTGTTACTACTTAAAATCTGTGACAATTCAACAAGTTGGAGATAAAATCAAGGGGAATCAAGAGTTACGGGGAAAGGGCAGGCAAGTGGACGTGAGGACTGCTGGATCAGCCATGACCCCATTGAATGAGGGAGCAGGCTCAAGGGGCTGAATGACCTACTCCTATTTACATTTCATTTGGTACTAAAATGAGAGAAATTGACCTTGGATAATAATACAAACTGGGTGTTAACATGTCAGCAGCTGTTTTACATGCCATGTGAAAATCAAGTCAGATTTGGTTCAAAACAAATCACCCAAACTGCTATCTCCCAGCCTGCTCTATTGCCAACCATCAAGTTCAACTCCAGAGAGTTGTTTGGAATCTTGTTCATTTCAATTTTGTTCAGAAAATATTATGACCAATTAAAACGTTCAGTGAAAAATTATATGTCACATCAATTTAACCTTCATTGCGACAGGTTTCACATGCAGGAGCAGGGATGTGTTGCTGCAGTTATACAGGGCCTTGGTGAGACCATACCTGGAATATTGCATGCAGTTTTGGTCTCCTTTTCTGAGGAAGGAAGCTCTTGCTCTCGAGGAAGTGCAGGGAAAGTTTACCGGGCTGATTCCGGGGATGGTGGGTCTGACGTACAAGGAGAAATTGACTAGGTTCGGATTGTTTTTGCTAGATATTAGACGAATGAGGGGGGATCTCACAGAGGCTTATAAAATTCTAACAGGACTGGACAGGATAGATGCAGGGAGGATGTTCCCAATGGTGAGTGTGTCCAAAACCAGGGGTCACAGTCTGAGGATTTGAGGTAGACCATTTAGGATAGAGATGAGGAGACATTTCTTCACCCAAAGAGCGGTGAGCCTGTGGAATTCATTACCACAGGAAGTAGTTGATGCCAAAACATTGAATGTATTCCGGAGGCGGCTAGATATAGCACTTAGGGTGAATGGGATCAAAGGTTATGGGGAGAAAGCAGGATTAGGCTACTGAGTTGGACGATCAGCCATGATTGTGAAGAATGGCAGAGCAGGCTTGAAGGGCTGAATGGCCTCCTCCTGCTCCCATGTTTCTAAATGCCACTAAAGCTGCTTCTGCATAGGTTGGTTAACGCTTTTCCTGCCTTTTATTTCAACTTAACAGATTAACATTAACAGCTACATTCCTAATACTTGAATTAACCAATATATTAGAAACAGCACAGAGACAAAATGAAACCTAAATGATGACCCACCCCGACCTGTGGAATACATAGAACAGTGGCAATCTTTAACTTTATTATTGAAAATAGCCTGTCTGCAAATTATTTAGAGCAATAGATTTAAAGAATCTGCAATTTGATATTGCAAGCAAATTGACTTTCCCAAGGCAATTATTTGGTGAAGTATTATCTAATTCATCCTCCAATTATTTCCTGTTAATTACAATGTCGAAACACCTTCTTTCAATTGGAGCCCTGATGGGTTTAACCTTCATTTAATTAGCAAATTCAAACGAAAAACAGTACTTGTTCAATGTAATGTTTTTAAGTGTTTTTCTGCTAATATTCCAACACTATAATTTTAAGGATTAAGAACTTATTTTGCAATTCATCATTACATTCTATACTTATTTAAAAATATTTTTGCTTTCAGCATAAGTATGACAACGTGCTCAACAGTACTGGGGATGGGAATGATGCCTCTTTGCCTTTTTATTTACACTAAAACCTGGGTGGACACAGATTTCATCCGGATCCCTTACGACAGCATAGGTAATTTGTGAGCATCAAATTTCACAAGAATTTTCAGACTTTGTTTTAATATGTTCACCTATGGGAAATGAATAAAACTGAAATTTCTATATCCTAGGTATTACTCTTATAAGCCTTCTAATTCCTGTTGCTGCTGGGATTTATATGAACTATAGGTGGCCACAAAAGGCCAAGCTCATATTGAAGGTAAGTGACTTCCAACAGTTGTGAAACAACTACAACATTTTGCAGAGCCAATAGTTTCTCTGGGTCTTCTCTAAACCATTTGACAAAGCTTTATAAGAACACCAGGAGAACTGGCTTAAATGCTGTCGGTGTGTTTGCTCTGGGATCCCCAATGATTTGTCGCCAAAGCTGGGAAGTGATTGGGAGAAGGTGTACACACAAGTCATAGTCATAGAGATGTACAGCACAGAAACAGACCATTCAGTCCATCTCATCCATGCCAAAAGATATCCTAAATTAATCTAGTCCCATTTGCCAGCATTTGGCACATATCCCCCTAAACCCTTCCTATTCATATACCCATCCAGATGCCTTTTAAATAGTGTAATTGTACCAGCCTCCACCACTTCCGCTGGTAGCTCATTCCATACATACACCACCCTCTGCGTGAAAAAGTTGCCCCTTAGGTCTTTTTTGCATCTTTTCCTTCTCACCTCAAAACTATGCCCTCTAGTTTTGGACGCACCTACCCTGGAGAAAAGACCTTGGCTATTCACCCTATCCATGCCCCTCATAATTTTATAAGCTTCAATAAGGTCACCCCTCAGCCTCCGCCGTTCCAGGCAAAATAGCTCCAGCCTATTCAGCCTCTTTCTAGAACTCAAACCCTTCAACCCCGGCAACACCCTTGTAAATCTTCTCTGAACCCTTTCAAGTTTCGCAACATTTTTCCTAAAGCAGGGAGGCCAGAATTGAGCACAATATTCTAAAAGTGGCCTAACCAATGTCCTGTAACTTCAACATGACCTTCCAACTCCAATATTCAATGCACTGACTAATAAAGGCAAGCATACCAGTTTCCTTCTTCACTACCCAAAAGTATACTTTTAGAAACACAACAGGATAGATTTTGGAGGGGAGTGTGGAGTTTGAAAGCAATCAGACTGTGTTCACCATTATAATCCCTTTAAAACAGACTGTAATTCCAGGATGTTGATCAGTCCAGAAACCCAGAAATTGTCTTTGACGCTATGCCATGTACTCAAAGTGTACCCAGTGACTATAATCACTGAGAATTCTGTCTGAAACCAGTTAAAAAAATATACTTTGCTTAATCGGATATAACTGGATTTTAGTGGTAAAGTGATAAATGAAATCTGATACAAACAACAAAACTGGTTGTGACAGAATAAATTTTATATTTATGGAATTATTGGGTTTTTCTTTAGAAAAAAAAAGATTTTATTTCAGAATATAATACCTCCACATTCACCACAAGTACCTGTGTCATTGTTTAATATAGAACATTTTAAAAGTTATTTGATCTTAGTGTTTTTGTTTCATGTGTGGGTATGTGTGTGTGTGTGTCATTGAAATTCTTTAATGCTGTTTGGGCAGCCTGATGACATGATTCTGGTTGCACAGTGAGAATGCCCAATCCAGAAACTCATTCCTGCCATTGACCAGTAAGCTATCAGGTACAATTACTCCTATAAACTTGTCCTGCATTGCAACTACCTGAGCATGCTTAATTCTTCCTAATGCTTTTCTGATCGCTGGCAGGAATGCAGACTGGCATCCATTTTAGTGCAGCACTTAGAAAAACACAACATACTGGCAACAATTCATCCCTGTTCCCAATCTGTGATGGGGATCTCCACCTCATTGAGATTTTGAATGCTGCCCTTTTAAACTTGATTTGGTGTGTTAAGGCTTTGTGCAGGAAGTTTCAAGGTAGTTCAGTTCATAGATCATTAGTCCCAGACTCATCCTTGTAGGTACCACATTATAATTTCATTTTCTTCAATATTTCAGTGAGCTTAATTTTAATCTTTCACTAAAAACATCCATAAATGTTACAACAAGTTCTCTAAAAATGGAGGATGAGAATTGCATTTCCTGAAATGACCTGTTTTAGGCCCATGTTATTAACTGAATCGTCAGAAGCATGTTTTACAGAAGGAGCACTTAGTAACTGATAAGCAAACTAGATCTTACATAACTTGAATTTTTGTTAGTCTATGCCAAGCCAGTTTGTGTTTTTTGGTGTCCGCACATAGCAATCTATACTGAGACTGCAGTATTGCACACGCAAGGACTACTTTCCTGGTGTTGCAGGATAAATATATGCAGCCAGAAACCTTCAGTGCACTTCCTTAACCAATGTGATTGACAAAGAAACAAAGGAAGGACTGAGAAGGATGAATTAAGTGGGGAAGTTCAATGTCCAATGTCATGGAAGACATTGATACCGAAAGAGAAATAACGTAAGGGAAAGCAATATGGCATTTTCTCAAGAGAAAGGAATATAGAAACAGAAAGAAAAAAGACAGAATTTATGATCTTGTCAATCTCAAACAATTCAATCTGAAGGACCAAACTCCACAATTCTTTTTAAACATTCTGGGCAGGGGAATTAACTGGCTGTTGTTAGCAATTAATAATGTGAGCAATCGTGTAACAATATAATAACTGTTGGATTTGACATTATATGACAAGGTTGTTGCTAAATTCTTCAGCAAATGAACTAACTTCAAGAAAGCTTGTGGGAAGGGCAAGGATGGAATGTTGCTTTTGTGAAGCTAACCACAAAATGATGCGAATTGTCCAAAATTTGTGATCAATTCACAATTCCTAACTACCTCTCACTCGCCACAAGTTGCAGCTGATCTGCATAATAACAATGAAAACTATTCTTGTATATGTGGTTTCTCTTGGAACTATCTACAGCACCTGGGTGGATTCACTACATTTGTCCTTTCTGCTGGTATCAGATAAGCTACTGAGACCCTATAGGGAAGCATGGCCACACAAATACTTCAGCAAAAGCTGAGCTTAATATTGATGATTACATCTTACTTAGTAGTTAGTTACATGACATATGAAACTCAGTACTGATGCTGATCCTGCCCATCAGTGATGCTTCTAACGCAGACCTCATCTCAATGTGATACAATATTCAGAAACAATTCTTCACTTTTTAAAATCTGTGTTATTTACTGCTTTATATTGGATGGAGATTGTGTGGGTGCTTGATGGAAATACATTTTCAGAGCTAAGAGAGTGGAGGTTGAACGGAACCAGTCAGATCGCTCTATGGAGAGAATGCATGGATTTGATGGGCTGAAAAGCCTCCTTCTGTGCTGTGGTGACTCTGACTCTCTCATCTTAAAATAAATCCTTTTACCTAGATTGGTTCTATCGCTGGAGCATTTCTCATAATTGCTACAGCTGTGACTGGAGGTCTGCTGTACAAAGGTTCCTGGGCAACATCACCCTCCCTGTGGATCATTGGAACAATCTATCCAGCTATTGGATATGCACTCGGATTTATTTTGGCTCGTATTGCTGGCCAGCCTTGGTTCAGGTAAAACATCTTTTTGTGAAATCGTGAATGAAAAGTAGTCACATGATGCACTGTTATAAATTGTAATCTATCAAGAAGATAAACAAAAACAGACACTGCTGGAAGTACGGTAACAACAGAGAACATACATGAATAAGAGCATCAGGTTAAGAGATAAACAAATGTTAGAAACAGAATAAGGGAAGCAGGTGACAAAACAGGTGAACACACACAGATCATACCCAATTTTAACTCTGTCTAAGTGAATGGGTTTTGAATGAGTAAAATTTCTGCTGAAGTGTCAGTGGTGGTTCGATGATGTAACAATTATCTCAAACAAATAATGGCCAGAAGGACTTTGGAGAATTAGTGGGTGAGATATGGAACTTGTTGGCACTTGTTTTTTTTGGGAGCTGTGAGTGCTCCTAGAGTTCCAAAATGCTATCTTTGGCCCTCTGACCTTCATATTGCTGAGGGTATTAGCTCATGTACTCTCAAATTCTGTCAGATGTAAGCAGAAAGGCAGATAATGAAGTCAGAGATAGTAGGAACTGCCAATGCTGTAGTCTGAGATAACAAGGTATAGAGCTGGATGAACACAGCAGGTCAGGTAGCATCAGAGGAGCAGGAAAGCTGACGTTTTGGGTCTGGACCCTTCATCAGAAATGGGGGATGCAAAGGGGGCTCTGAAATAAATAGACAGAGGGGGAGGCGATGATAGAATGAAGTCACCCAGGACGCCGTACTGATTTGATGCCAGCAGTTTCGTTTTCATGCACAAAATACCCACCAGTGCATTACCTTAATGTTGTGTCAGTGAACAGCAGGAAGGACTCTGCACTGCCAGCATTCAAAGAGATCATTAACCATTTTCAGGTTAGTAGCTGGTAAATTTTTCCAACTGTTACTATTATTCCTCAAGTGTTTGGTGTTATCTATAGGTAGTTCAAGTCGTAGAAGTCAATAGAAAGAGGTGTGGCAGATGTTAAATGATCTTTTGAAATCTTTGCCATCTGTTGGAGGATAACATTGCTGAACCACTGTGTCAACCCTGATACTCTTTTCAACACTATGATCCACATCCATGGTGTGATCTAATATTACGTGACATCAGCCTGTAGCACCCGAGATGTTGGACATCTGCCATTTGTGCTACAGTGAAAGCTGCAACATCAGCCAACAGTCACTCCACCACAATCGGCCACCAGCGTGTGGATAGAGTTCAGCTCCATTCTCATGTTGAAAATGATTGGCTTCAAGCTCACGTACTGCTCAACTCGTCGAAATTGACAACTCACTTTTTTTATTGCAAAAATAGACTTTAAATGCCTTTTGTAAGTCTAAGTACACCATGCCATAAGACTCACTGCATGCACCAGGGATATCAACAAAGAACAATACAGCACAGGCCCATTGGCCTCCAAGCCTGCACCAACAAATGCTGTCCTTCTATATCAAACTGTCTTCATTTACAGGATCCGTATCCCTCTATTCCATTCCAGTTCATGTACGTATCTAAGACAACAAGGTGCAGGGCTGGATGAAAACAGCAGGCCAAGCAGCATCACAAGAGCAGAAAGGCTGACGTTTCAGGCCTAGACCCTTCAGTATCTAGCTGTTTCTTGGATGCTGCTATTGTGTCTGCTTCTTCTACCACCTCTGGCAACACATTCCAGGCACCCACCACCCTTTGTGTGAAAAGCTTACCTCGCACATCTCTTTTAAACTTCCCCCCTCACACCCTGAACCTGTGTCCGCTAGTAAGTGACCCTTCCACCTGGGAAAAAGCTTCATACTTTCCGCTCTATCCATGCCATTCACAATCTTATAAACTTCTATCAGGTTGCCCCTCAAACTCCTGCATTCCAGCAAAAATAATCCCAGTCTATCCAAACTTTCTTCATAGCTAAAATCCCCCACTCCAGGTAGTATCCTGGTGAACCTTTTCTGTCCCCTCTCCAAAGTATCCACATTCTTCTGGTAGAGTGGTGATCAGAACCGTACACAATATTCCAAATGTGGCCTAACTAAAGTTCTATAAAACTGCAGCATAACTTGTCTATCTTTATACTCAATGACCCCTCCAATGAAGGCAAGCATGCCATGGGCCTTTTTTACCACCTTATCTCCCTCTGCATACCTATACTCCTAAGTGTTCTGCCATTCACTGTATAATTCACACCAGTACTTGATCTTCCAAAATGCATCACCTCACATTTGTCTGGATTAAACTCCATCTGCCATTTTTTCTGCCCATTCCTCCAACTGGTCTATATCCTGCTGTAGCCTCTGACAATCCACCTTGCTATCTGCAATTCCAGCAATCTTTGTATCATCCACAAACTTACTAATTAGACCAGCTAGGTTTTCCTCCAAATCATTTATGTAGATCATGAACAGCAGAAGTCCTAGCACTGATCCCTTGTGGAACACCACTAGTCACAACCCTCCATTCTGAAAAGCATCCTTCCACCACTACCCTCTGTCTCCTATGACTAAGCCAGTTCTGTATCCATCTTGCTAACTCACCCCGATACCATGTGGCGTCACCTTTTGTACCAGTCTGCCATGAGAGACCTTATCAAAGGCTTTACTGAAGTCCTGTAATTTCCAAATTATCATGTGTCATTATCACCCACCAGTCATTCCACTAAAGTAAAAGAATGAACTGCAGATGCTGAAGTTTGAAACAAAAACATAAATTGCTGGAGAAATTCTGGCACCATCTGTAGAGAGAAAAGAATCATTCTACTATGTTGTTTTTCACAGACTCATACAGTGCAGAAAACATCTTCTGGCCTATCAAGTTTGCACTGACTACCACTAAAAGTACGCTAACCCCAATCTCCTGCACTTGTCTTATGTCTTTGAATGTTATGATATTTGAAATATTCATCCAAATATTTTTTAAAGGTTGTAAGGTTTCCAGCCTCCTACCTTCCTAGGCAGTGCATTCCAGATTTCCACCACCCTCTGAGTGAAAAATGTTTTCCCAAATCCCTTCTGAATCTCCTGCCCCTTAACCTAAAACTATGCCCTCTCATGTTTTACGCCTCAACCAAGTGTAACAGCTGCTCTCTATTCACTCATAATCTTATACACGTCAATCATGTCCCCACGCTCAGTCTTCTCTGGTCTAGAGAAAACAATCCAAGTCTGTCTAGTCTCTCCTTATTGCTCAATTTCTCCATCCCAGGCAACATCCTGATGAACCTCCTTTGTAACTCCTCTAGTACTATCACACACTCTCTATTGAAGGGTGACCAGAACTACACACAGTAGTCTAGATGTGGCCTGAACAACACTCTGTAAAACTCCAACATTGGTCCTTGCTCTTATAATCTATGCCATAACTGATGAAAGCAAGTGTCCCATATGCCTTAAATATCCTCTTCACATGCTCTGCCAATTTCAGAGATCTTTGAATAATTACCCCAAGATCTCTCTGTTCCTCTAAGCTACCCAGTGTCCTGTCATTCATTAAATACTGCCTCATCTTGTTTTTTTCTTCCAAAGTGCATTACCTCACACTTACCAGGGTTAAATACCACCTGCCCACCTGACCAATCCCTCTCTATCTTCCTGTCGCCTACAACCATCTTCTTCATTATTAATCACTCCACCAACCTTGGGGTCATCTGCAAATTTGCTTAACGTTCCCTCCACATTTTCATATATATCATTTACGTTTCCAACAAATGGTAAGGGTCCCAGTACTGATCTTTGTGCTACACCACTGGACACCAGCCTCCAGTCACTCAAACAGCCTTCTACCACCACCCTTTGTGCCCCATTACTAAGCCAGTTTCTGATCAATCTTGCCAAGTTTCCCCCAATTTGATGTGCTTTAACCTTCTCAATGTGTCTCCCATGTGGGACCTTGTCAAATATTTTTGTCAGATGCCAACTGAACTTCTCTCATCCACTCACTTGTTCACATTTTTAAAAATTTCTAACAAACCATGCTGTCTCTAATTAACCCATGCCTCTCCAAGTAGGTGTTAATTCACTCCTTCAGAATTTTCTCCAATAGTTTCTCTACAAGTGACGTGAGACTCGCTGGTCTGTAATTTCCTGGTTCATCGCTACCACACCACTTAAAACGTGGAACCACAGTAGCCACTCTCCAGTCCTCTGGCACTTCCCCTCTGGCCAGAGAGGAATTAAACATTAGTGTCAGAACCCCTGCAATTTCCTGCCTCACCTCCCACAGCAGCCTGGGATGGAATTCACCCAAGCCAGGGGATTTGTCTGTTTTTAAGCCCGAGCCTCCAATACCTCCCCATTTCTTATGTCAAACTGTGCAAGTTCCTCACAGTCCCTTTTCCAGAATTCCATATCTACATTCTCCCTTTCTAGAGTGAAGACCGAAAAGAAGTATTCATTCAATACCCTTCCAATATCCAGTGGCTTCAAACACACATTGCCCCTTGGTCCCTAATGGGCCCTACTCTTTTCCCCTGGTTAAGCTATTCCCTTTAACATATTTATGTAAGTTGGTCTTGATACTTGTTTAGTGAAGCTACAAGTCCAGAAAAAAAATTGCATCTATAGAGAAAGTATGCATTCTTAAAATTCACTCCCCAGAAGGAAGAAAAACTGTTTTTTAAAAAAAAGGTAATTTTTGGAAATGAACAGACGGTTGCACTGGAGCTCTCTTATGAAGTACAGGTCGTTCTGCTGTAACGCGTGTTTCATTAACGTGAATTGGCTGGAATGTGATTGATGAATAGTGGACAGTATTTGGATAACACAAACTTTCGGAAATACAGGTTTTCTATAGCAATTTCCCTATAACACGATTTGCTATGGCAATTATCTGTAGCACAATTTTCTATAGTACAATTTTCCACAGCACGAGGTCACGCAAGAATGCAACTATCGCGTTGTAGAACTACCTGTACTCAAGACTAGTTGAACCATTATGTCTCATTCACCAGTTTAACTGGTTTTACTTTCTGGGTGACAGGATGTGGTCATCATTGGTTACGCCACCATTTATTGCCAATCCCAAATTATCCTTGGAGGTACTAATGATTCAGTTATCTTATTGAACCACTGCTTGTAGGTACATCTACAATGCTGTTACAAGGGGACTTTCAGGATCTTCACCAGCATTAATAAAGGAACAGTAATATAGTTCAGATGGCATGTGGTTTGGAGGGGAACTTGCAGGGGGGTGGAGTTCCCATGTCTCTGTTGCTGTTGCCCTTCTAGATGGCAGAGATCACAGGTTTGGAAGGTGCTGTCTAAGGAGCCTTGATGAATTGTTGTAATGCATCTAGTAAATGGTACACGCTGTTACAACTGTACATAAGTCGTGGAGGGAGGTAATATTGAAGGTGTGATGCTAAAGAATTGGGCTGCTTTGCCTTGGATAGTGGTCTGGAATTTTCTTGGAGTTGCACTCAGCCAGTCAGTGCCTGGATGAGATCTCAAATAATTTATTTATTGCAGATCTTGAATCTAATCAGCATTTGCTAATTCATGGTTAGTAATAAGATACAACTACTAATAAATACCTGAAGGAACCGAAACATTTTCCAATTTTAAAATATCATATTAAGTCACATTCCTCTAAAAAAGTCTTCAGTCAACCTTGCTGAATATAAGTTGGCTGGGCAAGTGGCTTGCGATGTAGAGTGACACTAACAATGTACTGGCTGAGGTTACCACGAAGGACTCTCCTCAACCTCTCCCCTCTCTGAGGCATGGTGACCCTCAGGTTAAACCAACCCCAGTTGGGGATGTTTCTAATGAGAGAGCAGCAGCAATGTGCCTGACTCTTCAATGCCCTCTGGGCAATATGGAATAGGCAATAAATTTTGGCCTAACCGTATCCCATGAATGAATTAAAATAAAATTCTTAGGGTCTTAATAGGTTATTTTCCCTAGTGGCATTTCCCCATAGTTTCAGGATATGGGATTGGACATTTAAGACAGAGATGAAGAGGAATTTCTTCTCTCAGGGGTTAGTCTTTTTGTAGAATTCTTTGCCACTTAGGGCTGAAGAGGCTGGGTTGTTAATAATATTCAAGGTTAAGATAGACAGATTTTTAATCAATAAGGGAATCAAGGTTGTGGGGAAAAGGCAGGAAAATGGAGATAAGGTTTCAGATCAGCCACAATCTCAGTGAATGGTAGTGCACTCTCAATGGAGCAAATGACCTCAAGACCTCAATTCACATTTAAGAAAATGAACAGACCGTAAACAAAAACTTACAAACAATTGAAATAAAAGGTTTTCCAAAGGAATCTAACGATCTCCTGAATTAATCACCCACCACAATTTAAGTAACAAAGTTCTTAGCACATTTCTTTGATTTATGAATTCAGAATAATGCTAGGTCTTGCAATGTCTCAGTTGACCAGCATCTTTACCTCACCAATGCAACTTCATGTTACAGATGTCGTACCGTAGCTTTAGAGACTGGCGCACAGAATACTCAACTCTGCACAACCATTGTTCAGCTCTCCTTTTCACCTGACCAGCTTGCGCTCATGTTCACATTTCCACTGATCTACAGTGTTTTTCAACTAGCATTTGCAGCTATAATGATTGGATGTAAGTTTTGTTTTATTCTACTTTTGACTTTAAATGGACCATTGGACAGAATTAAAATGTGTCAGGGAGAAGAATATTAGACCTTAAAGCACGGAGTTGGAAATGATGATACAGAAATGAAGATTTCAGTTTCCCATCTAGAAAAGTACTGGATAAGACAAAACTGTGCAGACCAAGATAAAGGTTGTACCCAACTGAACTAGTACCATTTGTCCTTGCACAGAGGGTAATTAAGTTACAATAGGAGGATTTGAATTAATAAAGCACAATGGAATGGCAGACAGCAGATTCAGAATGAGGATAAAAGTGAAGATAAACTGCATGTTATGGTATAGAGCAAGAAGTGGTATGTAACAGTTCAAGATACAGGCATTAAAATCACAGGAAAGCTGTATGGATTCTAAGCATGTGATGAAATGGAAAAATATTAATTTAAATAAAACTGGAGAAGTGCATCTCTCAAAGCTTTCACCATAAATACAAAGAAACTCAGAAACAAAGTGAAGAAAACTCAAGATACCTGTTGGACAGAGAGATTCCAAATTCGTGAGTGTTACAGAAGGTTGAGTTTAACAATGACATAGGTTGGGTAAATATATAGGAACACAAATTAATCCATACAGATGGAAAATAGAAATTTGGAAACAGTGTGGCCTTTTGAAAACGAGAGAATTTGATACCAGTATAAAATTTGGGGTCATTTTAACTTTAACTGTAAGATACAAGTCACCTACTAATTGAGAGAGCTAATCTAAAAGTTTACTAGCGAAAAAAAAGAAAATCTGAAATTCTGTGCACAGAAAACAGAGTTAACGTTTCTAGTCCAGTGACCCTTCTGGACCTGAAACTTAGCTATGCTTTCATTCCACAGATGCTGCCAGATCTGTTGAATTTCTCTATCAATTTTTGTTTGTATCTAAAAATTTACTAGTATTGATTAGTTACAGGATACATTCCAGGCACAACTATGCTTTCACAACCTTTACACAAGTTATTAAGTTCATCATAACAAGAGATAATGCTTAATAAAAGCAGTGATTTTGAGTCAGTCCGTTTCAGGACACCAGTTCATAACACTGAAGTGGCAACAAATGCAGCTAAAGGGCTTAGGGGCAGACAGGAAAGTAGGATTAAAGACAGAGCAAATCAGCTGCGATCTTATTGAAAGGCACAGCAGGATTGAGGAATCTAATAGTCTCCTAGTGCTCCTATTTATTATATGATTCATGTTCCTTGAAGAGTAGACAAAAGGAAATAGATGTAATTTATTCAAATTTTCAAAAGGTTCTTGATAGGGGGCCCCATAATAAAAGCAGTGAAGAGAGAGTCAGGAAACAAGTCATGGAATTGGCTTTAAGCTGGAAGATGGAAAGTAGAGAATAGCACTGAAGGTGGCAGAAAGTGGGAAGAGATATTCAACATGGATTTGTGCTGAATTCACTGCTCTTGACAATTTACAGTCGAGGTTTTGGACCTTGAAAACAAAAACACAGTACTTAAATTTGTCAATGAAGCCAAACTGGGACCATGAGAGGATATGCAGAAAGACTAACAGCTTTACAGGAGAACATTAACAAACTTCCAGAAAGGATACAGATAAATGTGAGGATGAGCATGTTGCTAAGAATAGCAAAGTAACATTACATTGAAAGTGCGACACTAGATGGGGTACTAATACACAAATTGCATCAAACGTTACCAAGGCCACAAACGTGCAAACCAAACACTGGCTTTTATCTCTAATGAAACTGAATGGAAAAGTAGCAAAGTTATGCTAAAACTGATATTTTTAATAATATTTAAAACTGAATGAAAATTTCAAATGTTGATGTTCAGAAGTTTGGACACTTAAAGAAACAAAGTTAACATGAAGTGACCGCTAACAATTAGGAAAACAAATGGTATATTGGCCTTTATTGCAAGGGGATTTGAGTACAAAAAAGTTTTTTTCAGAAGTGTTTAGAGTTTTAGTGAAACCATATCTGGAATACCATGCACAGTTTTGATCTCTGATATTGAAGGAAGGATATAGTAGCATTACAGGTAATAAGGTGAAGGTTCACTAGGTTGGTTCCTGGGATGAGAGGGCTGAGATTCTGAGCAAACTGTGCCAAACTCTTTGGTTTAAATATATGAGAGGGAATTTCATTGAAACAGACATGATTCTGAAGGCACCAGACAGGGTAGATACTGAAGTAGCTTACTCTGGCTTAGAAAATGCAGAGAACAGGGACAATTATTTAGGACTAAAGTGTGAAGTAGTTTCTCACTCATGCAGTAGGAAATTTTACAACTGTCTACCCCGGAGGGTGGATGCTCCATCACTGAGTAAATTGAAGGCACAGCTAGATAGATTTTTGGTCTCCCAGGGATACACTGAGCAAACAAGAACGTGCAGTTGATGCACATCAGCCAGGATCATTTGAATGACAAAGCAGGCTTGAGAGGCTATAGGGCCTATTTCTACTTATGTCCTTAGGTTTTGGAGCAAGTAGGTGATAAAGGAAACCATTGAACCACTGAGAATTGAAAAATGACACATGGGCTATAAGCGTTTCTCACACCAACACAGAAGTTGCACTTTTGGAGTAGGTAAACTAAGCAAACTAAGAAAAATACAGAATTTACACGTGACAATTACTGATCGAAGGCTAAGTGCCAGATCCAGATGGAAATTATGTGATACTCAAAGCAATTGCTTAATGAAAATCACATTCTTACCACCTTTTGGGAATGATTAGTTTTGTGCAGCTGAGGAATGAAAAAGAGTTAACACCACTCAATGATGAAACAAAAGGGCATATGTTATCACAAATCAAAAGCTTAGTAGGCCTATCATTTGTTATGGTAGGGGTGCAGGAGTTGGGTCAGAGATGACTCCCACATCCTCAAACTCTGCTTCCTGTAAAGACTGTATTCCATTCTCTCACTTTCTCCATTTCTATCACATCTGTTCCAATGATGCCAGTTTCTACAAAGGGGCCTCCGAAACGACCCCCTTCTTCCTCAACTGAGGATTCCCCAACATTGTAATTGACAGGGCCCTAAGTCACGTCCAACCTATCTCCTGCACTTCAGCCGTCACCCCTTCTCTTCTTTCTCGCAATTGCTTTAGGATCACCTGATCCTCACTCATGACCCACCAACATCCATATCCAGAGAATCATTAGCCATCACTTCTGTCACCTCCACTGGGATGCTGCCACCAAATACTTATTCTTCTCCCCTCCCTTGTCAGCCTTCTGCACGGACCATTCCCTCTGGGATATCTTGATCCGCTCCTCCTCCACTTCTAATTCCTCCCCACAATCCTATGGCAATTTTCCTATGTAATCACAGAAGGTGCAGCACTTGCCTCTTTAGTTCCTCCCTCTTCACCATCCAACATTCTAAACATACCTTCCAGATGAAGCAGCGATTTACCTGCACTGCATTCAATCTAGTCTACTGTATCTGCTGCTCACAATGTGCTGTCCTCTACACTGGGGAAATAAAATGCAGATTGGGTGACAGCTTCACAGGACACCTACATGCTGCCCGCAAAAATGAACATGAGCATCCTATTGCCCGCTATCCTCAGCACACCACGTTATCCCTGGTCTTGGGCTTGCTGCAGTGCTCCAATAAAGCTCAGTTTGGGGACCCTTCAAACTTCATGACTCGATATTGAATTCAATAATTTGAGAGCTTGAAATACCTTTTCCTCTGTCCTTACCCTAAACACCAGGCTTTGTCATCACATGGGCTGCCACCACAACCATCCCATTGTCAGCCAATAACAGTCCCCATTAGTAGCTATTGATCCTCCCAGGCTGACCTTTAACCATTCCTTTGTCTGTCCAACTGTTGTTCTCTCTCTCTCTCTCTGGTCTGCATCACCATCTATCATGTTGTTCTCCTCCACCCCGTCTTCAGTAAATATAACGTCTTCCAATCAGTTCTGAAGGGTCACTGAATGTAAAAACGTTAACTCTGCTTTCTCTCCACAAACGTTGCCAGACCTGCTGAGTGTTCCCAGCAATTTCTATTTTTGTTTCTGATTTCCAGCATAAATAAGGTGAATAGCAAAAGGTTCTTTCCTGAGACTAGGGAAGTTCAAAACTAGAGGGCATTTTTTCAGATCAGAGAGGGATTTAAAAAGGAACCTTAGGGGCAACTTTTTTTTTTAAAACAAACAAACAGTTGTTCATATGTGGAATGAACTGCCAGAGGCAGTGATACATGCAGGTACAGTGACAAAATTTAAAAGACATTTGGATAAGGACATGAATAGGAAAGGTTTAGAGGGAGTTGGACCAAATACAGGCAAGTGGGACTAGTTTAGTTTGGGAAAATTGTTCAGCATGGATGAGTTGGACTATAGGGTCTGTTTCCATGCTGTATGACTTTATCTGCAGTTTTTTGTCCTTTTTTTAAAAAAATAACAGTTCCAACTTGAATTAAAGTTGGAAGCAGCTCGAGAAAAGTGTCCATTCACACACTACTGCAATTCAGCATTACAAGCCCCATTAGCCTCTGTTTCTAACCTGACTAGAGTATTCAAGATCAACTAAAGGTAACCTGACATTTCAGGTCGGGACCCCAAAGAAGGGTCCCGACCCGAAACATCAACTTTCCTGCTCCTCTGATGCTGCCTGGCCTGCTGTGTTCCTCCAGCTCCACATTGTTATCTCGGACTCCCGCATCTGCAGTTCTTACTATCTCCCAACTAAAGGTAACATTTGGTGGGCATTTTCACCAATATTAACATGTCTTTCTCATACATTAGAGGCGTGGACAGGACATAACTTCTGGCAAATCCACTCCACAAATGTAAACACTGAAGATGATCAGCCTACTTTCTAGAAAGGCTGATCTGAATAAATGCCAATAAGCTCCCAAGGCTCCTCTATTCTGCTTGAAGATTGTGGTGGACTCTGCCACATTTGCATTTAGAGTATTCAGACACAAAGTTCATCCTAGTATTCAATTCACCAGGCAAACAGCAGTTGAAGCAGCAAGAATTCTAACATGTGAAAGCGCCTCTCTAGTCCTGTCCCCTTTAACATTGGGTCCTATGTTTGAATGGATAGACATTACCCCTGCTTTTGTCTTATCCAAAGAGACCATCTAGGCAGACATTGAGCTTTCTCATATACTGCCTGATCATCATACCTCGGCTACATTTCATGACAATTTCCATGAGGAGCAATTAGCCTCCAGTCCCTTGCCACCTACTGGTTCCTGGTTCCCTGCCCTGGTGTCTCCCTGAAAGTTTACCATTATCTTAGGTCCAATCTCTTTTCCATCCATTATTTCATTCATAGCATGTGCTATGCCTTCAGGCATTTTTGCTTTACGCTGTCACACACCCAAATACAAATCTCTCTCCTCCCCTCCTTCATTAAACCCTCCTAAAACCCAATTGTCAAGTAAATATTTGGTTTCTGCTCAAGTAGTTTGATGTCTATTCTTGTCCACTGATATGTGTGAAATCTATTGGGCCACTCGTTTATGTTGAATGTGCTACGTAAATCAAAAGCTATTATATGCCAATATTTATAATTTTAGTAAATATAAACATCTTATTTTTGTGTATTACTCAGTTTATCAACTGTACAAACGACATGCCAAGAGCACCACAGATGATTCTTCAGAGTGCGTAAATGATGAGGAGAAAGCTAACACAGCTAACGCTTTTACAAATGGAGGATTTCACACAGATGAGAAATTACCAGATGATGTTTTATCAAATGACACCCCCCATTTGAAAGAGAAATGCCAAAATGGCATTTTGAAAGGAGGGCTCTCAACAGAAGAGAAGCTATCAAATGATGTCTTGGACACAAGTACCAACCTATGAAGATTTTGATCATCGTTGATCATGTTCTTGTTGTCGAGGCCATTTGGGATTTACCTTTATCAATGTTAATGGCAGTGTTTTATTTTCGAAAGAACTTAAAACTAAACCTGAACACACTAATCATGGATTATTCATACCATGTCCTCTTCTATGCAAGTTCCCTTTCCAATATTGCATCCAAGAGGGAAAAATAGAGCTGGAATTACCCCCCACTGCCCTTCCCTACCTCCACCACCAAAAGCAGTAGTTCTCAAACTGTGGTGTGACCCAAACAATTGTATGCAGCAAAAGGGTCCCAATTCCTAAACTATTGCCATTCCCGATCAGTCATGTCTGACCACTTCCATTATTTTCAGTGCATTAGTATAACAGCATAAAAGACAGAAAGAAGTCAGTCAATCAAGTAAAAATGAGAGTGAGCTTGAAACAGAAAGGAAAGCAGATGATAGGGAAAAGATAAGTGAAGAATAGTGGCTGCCATCTTTACAGATATCAGTATCCTGAAAATGTGTGTGTGTGTTTTAAGACACTAGAAATGATTCTGCAGGACACTGCCAAAAACATGTTCGAGAATCATTCATTAAAGTTATGAAGACGAATGCAGTTCCATTGGCAATACTTTACCAGATAGCAGCAGATGTTTGTAACTGCCTGCTACCTTTTATATGTATTTTCAAAAATTATGCACAGATATGAAAAGTTATAACTTACCAAATTTTTGCACATTTATTATTATGAAAACAATGCCCTATAATGCCATTACATGATCATTTCTTGCACTGTAATTTCTGCATGTTGGACCAAATGATGGAGAAAGGAAATAAAAAAGTGCTTTGATACAAACAGCTACTGATTTGACAGCATGTAGCAAGAAAATGTAAGCTCCCCACTCCTGACATGACAGAAGTACAAGGTGCTTATCTAACTTTAGACCAGTACTGAAACAGAACTATGTTGTCAAGGTTAATTTTAACCATGTCAAAACAGTTTGTACACTTTGGAGCTTAACATTTATCTAGGAGGTATTATTACAATCCTGCTTTTGTTACTCAGCCTCATGAAGTTGCAAAAATGTAATACTGCAATGTAATAAAATCAATTTAAATGAAGTTGAGTGTGCATGGAAGAGCGAAGTTATGATACATTGTGTGTGACAGAATACTATTTTGAAATAGCAATGAAAAAATGGCGGCATTCTTGCAAACATAATCAATAAGAATACAACATAATCATAAAAATGGTGATTTTGGAAACTGAAGCTAAATTACAAGAGGTGACTCACAATAGAACAAATTTTAATCAGGAGAGAAGGTATGTTCAGGGATAACACCCAACTTTTGAAGATGTAACAGATGAGCAAAACTTTTAACAGCATCTGCAAAACTTCAGGTGATAAATGCAAAGCTGAAAACCTGAAGGGGATAAAGATTGTTTGTCTGTGCAACCCCACCCAATGCTCACCACAACAGCCACGTCTTTGCTCCCTCTGTTTATTAAAATCAGCTTTCTGGTAAAGTTCTTCAAATTAAAGAGTCAAAAATGCAACATAAGTATTAAGCATTCTATTTCCAAAACCATAAGAGAAATACACATTTAGTTTGCTTCCAGTTACCTTACATTGTCAAATCTTCCACTTGCAGCAATTTTTAAATTTCAAAGGACAAACTATATACCAATTGATGCAAAAATGGCATCAATATCATCATCCGTATGTGGCACAATTGCAGAACCTCCTCCTCTCAAAGAGCCCAAAGGGAGTGCGAGAGTTTTGAAATTCTGATTCAAATCACTGTTTCCAAGTTTAGTGTGCAAATCTCCAGTAACACACTGTTTCTTTATGGCAGTTTGTGTGTCAAATGCAAACTGTGGAATTGTTTTAAATGTCGTTTTGCTTCCTTCTTTTGTGTGAAGTCTACCTCTTATCCGTTTCTTATTAAGTGAGTTTTTTCTCCTGTACAGTTTTGACTGTCTCATCTTACAGTTGTGGAGAGGGGTCATCGAGTTTTTCCAATATTTAAATATTTTACCTTTGTGCAATTTTCCTTGAGACGTTTTAATGAGATATCTGCAGACGGACAGTTTGATCAAATAGATCTTCTTTGGGAAACTATATTTTAAAAATGTAAAAGAATACAAACAGTTAATAATCCATATGATTTGGCAATGAGATGAAAAGTCTCATTCATTTTAACTAGCGCAAGATATTAAATGCAATAAATTAGAAGCTGAGATTATGCAAGTATGAAAAAAAATATGCATTTTAGCTCTGGAAGCTCTGTTGATTTTAGTCCTTTTTCAGTTATTTCTTTTCTCCTCCTGAAGATGGTGTTTGTGTGTTGGGTATGTTGACAGCTCAATGCTAAGTAAGCATAAATCTGTCACACATCACTTGACAACAAGCAGTAGATATTCGGCTACTAAACACAAGTCAACCTAATTCTATCTGATCCAATAAACAAATTTTCAAGAAAGAACTTGCATTCATACAGTGCTTTTCTCAATCACAGGATGTTGCAAAAGCACTTGATGACCAAATAAGTAGTTGCTGGAGAGAAGGATATGTTGATTAGTTTACATTGTGGAGGTGCCAGTGTTGAACTGCGGTGGACAATGGCAAAAATCACACAACATCAGGTTATAGTCCAACAGGTTTATTTGAATACACAAGCTTTCGGAGCCTCGCTCCTCCTTCAGGTGTCAGTGAGACAGGTGGCATCAGACACAGAATTTATAAATAGAAGATCAAAGGGTCATAGAACTGACGCAAATGTATTGAACAAACCTAAATTGGCTGTTAAATCTTTAATCAGTTAGAAAGGAGATGCAGATTTCAATTGATTAATATGCAAAACCTGGAATTTCTTCCAAGTCACTGCCCTGAGATGACTGAAGGTTTTAATAGTATACCAGCGGTGACAATGCATTTTAGGTGTGAGGCCTTGTTTAGAATCTGCCTGTGTTTTAACTTGGAGTCAGATTGGTTTTATTTCCAGTGCTGCATTGACTGACTGAGTATAAGTTGTTTGCTTTTTGAACAAAAGAGAATGTATCTGCAAATGCAAATTCACCCTATAGATTTATAAGGGTATATGGGAGGGAGGGAGAGAGTGTGTGCAAACTCTCTCTTGTGTAGGGCCTAAATACTGGCATGAACCAGTTGGGCTGAATGGCCTGCTTTCATGTTTAAGAAGTATGCGAGTCAGGATGGTGGCTGGCATGGGAAATGAAAAAGGCACACTGGTGCTGGGGTGGCTGTGTGAGGCAGGAGACAAAGAGATTAAAAGCTAGAACATACTATTTAGGCATTGCAGGAGAAGATGTGGAGACTGGCCTCAAAATTCAGGTGATCTACATCTCAATACAAATAAAAATTATGCACCGTTTAGTTTTATTTGCATCAATACCTGTATAGAAAGTTTGTTATTGTTTTGATTTTGTAAAGCAAGCCACAACTACAGACCAAACACTTTAGTCTGGTGTAATGGCCCGATTACATGCAACTTTATTTAATGTTTTCAACACAGGTGTTTTACACACTTTGCTCTTCTTTATTTTGGTTGTAGACTATTACCAGCCAGGCCATCAAAACTGCAGTCAAACAACTGCAACAAAAACAAAGTTGCTGGAAAAGCTCAGCAGGTCTGGCAGCATCTGTGAAGGAAAAAACAGAGTTAATGTTTTGGGTCTGGTGACCCTTCCTCAGCTCTGATGCTGCCAGACCTGCTGAGCTTTTCCAGCAACTTTGTTTTTGTTCCTGATTCACAGCATCCACAGTTCTTTCGGTTTCTAGTCAAACAACTGCAGCTAGTATAGTTCACCACAAGACCATTATGATCAGTAAGACTTTATTTGCTTCTTACTAAACTCCTCCTACTTACTTCACATACCTGTACCCATGAGTTTCCACCATTCTAAGTCTGCGACATCGGAGAAACTGATTTCCTAAATAGCAGGATTCAAGTTTCAGTTTCTGGTGTCGAAACCAATGGAAAATTGTCTGGAGCTCCCAACACAATGCACTGAAAGTCTGTGTTGCACCAATCCTCCTCACAAACTCATCCAAAGGAAATAATTGCTTAGTTTTCTGCAATTTTCTGCACTTAAAGTCCCTTAGAAACCTCTGGATATTCAAAAAAAACAAAACTAGTTTTAAAAGGAATGTAGATTAATAGGGAGATATATTTTTATTTACAGTACTAAAAGCAGAACACTACATATGCTGGTAAGCCAAATGGAAATGCTCAGTATCTGGAGAGAGCAAAAGTGAGACACCAAGACAGAGGACAGTGAGGGGCATAATGGAAGTAAAGCATTAATAGCAGTTATAAAAACATACTGACCTCAGAATTGTTGCTACCTTGAACTTTCAGAGACTTAATTTCAAATCCCAACGGAATTCCAGTTTCTTCAATAGAATAAAATGTATTTTATTTCAAAACAGTTCATAGTTTTGAAACATTAATGTGTAAAAAGCATATAAATTTTACTGCATATCATTGAAGGAAAATTGTACAGTTTAGACGATTAACTATTTTATGGCAAATCAAAAGAATAATTTACTGCAATAAACATCACACAAGCACTCACCAATTTCATGATGGTCTTGCTCAGGAAGTCCAATATCTAGAATCTGATCTGTTTTACAGGTGACGCTGTCAGTTGTTTTATTTCCTTTTAACATTGTATTTTGATCATCCTCCAATAATAAAGGTTCAGTCTCAGAGAATAATTTATCAAGTAAGCCACAATTATCTGAAGGCATTCCACGCATCTGAGATGAAAGACTTGGCAGCTTCATTTGTGTGAATTTGCAATAGGAAAGACCAAGCCATTGCCTGATACTAACAGGGAAAGAAAACTCTTTCACATAGGACATATCTTGAATTTTAGTTACCTCATTCAGTAACAGGAATAGTTTATCATATACAAGTTCAAGGCTTAAAAAAATACTTCTGAACAGGACCCTGGAAAGAAAAAAGTGAAATTTTAGCTAGTTTTCTAAAAATGATCGCAAATATGGCTTCAACAGGCTATATTTTAAACTTACCACAGTCTGCTGAGCAATCCTGTAACTACCACATTCAGGACTATAAATTCTTCACAACGAAGATATTGAATAGTCAAACTACCATGTATTAGAATTAAGGAAACCCAACAAACCAGAATATTTCTGATAAGCATCAGACTAAGACTAGAATGGATGCCATCTTTAGTCAATTAAATGGTGGCTTTTCAAAGATAAACATGTTGGATAAATTATTTCAAAAGGCCTCTTCTATCAGCAAATCAAGTCAGAAGCGTTCCATAAAGAAATTTCCCAAACCATTTCCTTTCAGCATTGGAAATTTCCATCAGAGACCTCCACTCTACTGCACAGACAGGCATGGAGTCAGCTTCCACATGTACAACTCATGACATCTAGCTGGTGCTGTCAAATTGCTTATCCAGCAACCACACTCGGACGAACTTCAAATTCTAGAGAACTAAGCCAACATTTTTGATCTTGTTCATAAATTTCATACCCCAAGGACTTACTATCCCAGGCTGTTTGAGATGGTTTTTAACCACTGCTGTTCAAACGCCAGCTGAGCTTCTGATCAACAGAACCTCATTTTTGCAGTGCGCAGCTGATTCATTCAAAAACACCCTGTTAAGCTTTCTGCGCTGTTGAGCATTTGAAGCATCAGGGAGCTAACTTGTGTGCAGCGTATATGGAAACTTTCCTGTTTCTGCGCAACTAAAGATGGAATATTGCTTCTAAGCCAATATTTTCTCAAAAACGACTGACTTACATCCCATCGTCATCCAACTCCTTCTCTATCTCAGCCAATCTAAACCTAAAACCCTAATTTAAGCTTTGCCATCTCACATCAATCATTCTATTCTCCATCTAGCCAGTCTCTCATGCTCCATGAATGTCTGCTCAAAAGCTCTGCTATCAATTCCCTAAGCCACACAAATTTAATATTATTGCTGAACTAGATAGCATTTAATGTCTCAAAGTTGTAATTTTCACTTTGTGATTTAAATTCATACAACACATTTTGCTTCATCCTTCACTTGACCCCGAACCTTTATTTTCCCTTCCTTCTACCTGAACACTGGCAACAATGCCTACATCTGCTGATAGCCCATTGCATAATCGCCCTTCAATAATCTCTCTTCTTTGGCTTTTCATCTGTTTTGTATCCTCAGTAATAATGGATTGAAGAATATTTTTTCCTAAGGAATTATAACCAGTTGCTGTTCAATCATTGAGAGAATGTAAACAAAAAAGGAAGTTTCTGTAACAAAATTTAACTGCTTAAGAAATTAAAAGAACACTCAGATTTAAATATTAAAGCATTCAAGACTCAAACGTGGTCTCTTCAGCCAACAGCAAAATTAAACCATGAGAGATTATTGCATTTACTGTCCATCACCTAACTTAAATGCAAGGATGCTGACAAGAGGTGGAGTGAGGGATTTGAGAAGAGAAGGAGAGATGCTGAAACACCAATATAACTATTTGCAATTAAGCATAATGCTTTGTTGGACCACAGGTGGTGGTTAGAAATATTGTACATATCTACAATGCCTGGCGGTGATTAAAAATACATTTAAAAGAATACAAGCAGAACATTTGTCTAAACATTTCAAATAATGTAAGCTTAAGCTATCATTGACTAAATAATGTCTTCCACAATTTCAGCCATTTGATTTGAAAAGGTATTAAAAATAAGCCATCTCAAAAAACTATGCAATGCAGATGCCTCAGCATCCATTTCAGAGCAGCTGTCAATTTTGGTTGCATATAATACACAACTAGATTGTGAAACAAAATTTGTTCAACCAAAAGGAAAGAGTAATTAGCACAAGTCGCATGATTTCCACTGTACATGTCATGTGGTTAAATGTCCTCTAATAATTTACTCATTTTCTACTGCTAAATTACATATGGATATCTAACATAGAAACATAGAAGACAGTAGCAGAAATAGACCATTGACCCTTTGAGCCTGCTCCGCCGTTCAACAAGATCATGCTGATCATCGAGCTCAATACCCTAATCCTGTCTTTGATATGTTTAGCCACAAGGGCTATATCTACCTCCTGTTTGACAACACAATGCTTTGGCCTGAACCACTTTGTGGTAGAGAATTCCACACACTTACCACGTTCTGGGTGAAGAAATTTCTGTTCATCTCAGTCCTGAAAGGGTTACCCATTATCTTTAAAACAATGACTCCTGGTTCTCAACTCCCCCACCAGTGGAAACATCCTTTCTGCATTTGTCTAGACCATTGTAGGTTTCAGTGAATACAATCCTAACTGACAGAATCACTCCTCATACATCAGTTCTGTTATCCCAGGAATCAACTTGGTAAACCTTCACTGTACTCCCTCTATAGCAAGAAAACCCTTCCTCAAATAAGGAGGCCAAAACTGTACACAATGTTCCAGGTGTGGCCTCATCTATGCCCTGTATAACTGCTGCAAGACATCCTTGTTCCTGTACTTGAACTTTCTTGCTATGAAGGCCAACATACAGTTTGCCTTCTTTATTGCCTACTGCACCTGCATACTTACTTTCACCGACTGGTGCACAAGAACACCCAGGTCTCAAATAGTCTGCCCTCTCAATTTACAGCCTTTGAAATAACAATGCCTTTCTATTTTTGCAATCAAAGCAGATAACCTTACCTTTACCCACATACTTCATCTGCAATGCATTTGTCCACTCACAACTTTTTTAAAATCACCCAGCTTTGTGTCACCAGCAAATTTTGAGATAACAGTTAATTCCCTCATCTAAGTCATTAACATATATTGTGAATAGTTGGGTCCTAGTACTGATCTCTGCAGTACACCATGAGTCACTGCCTGCCATTCAGAAAAAGACCCACATATTCCTACTGTTTGCAGTCTACCAACCAATTTTTATCCATCTTAATACATTACCTCAATTCCACCCACTTTAATTTTACAGATTAATCTCTTATGTGGGACTTTGTCAAAAGTCCAAATAAACGACATCCACTGGTTTCCCCAATCTATTCTACCAGTTACATCCTTGAAGGATGAATGGATTTGTCAAGAATGATTTTCCTTTTGTAAATCCACGCTGAATGTGCCCGCTTCTACCATTTTTAAAAAAAAATGTTGTTATAAAATCCTTGATAATGGACTCTAGCATCTTTCTACTACCGACGTCAGACTTCCTGGTCTATAATTCCTTGTTTTGTCTCTACTTCACTTTTTAAATAGTGGGGTTACATTAGCTACCCTCCAATCTGTAGGAATTGTGCCTAAAGATTCTTGGAAGATGACCACTTCCTTAAGCAATTTGGGATGTAGGTTATGAGGCCCTGGGTATTTATTAGCTTTCAATCCCATCAATTTCTCCAACACCATTTCTTTATTAACACAGATTTGCTTCAGTTTCTCCCTCACACTAAACCCTTTGTTCCCTATCGTTTCTGATATGTTATCCATGTCCTCCATTGTGAAGGCAGTAGGGAAATAAGAATTTAGCTTGTTAGCCATTTTTGATTGCGAGGGACTTAATTGGTTTTCACCAAACTGTTTCTCTTTACATAGCTATAGAAAGCTTTACAATTATTAAGTTCCCCGCAAGCTTACTTTCATACTTTATTTTCCCCTTCTTAAATCAATCTCTTAGTTCTCTTTTACTGACTTCTGAACCGTTTTTCATGTCAATTTGTATGTCTTTTTTGCATCTAGTACTAATCTTCCTTGTAAGCGATGGTTTGGCCACTGTTCTCATTGCACTCTTGTGCTAGACAGGAATAAACTATTTTTGTATTTCATTCATTCGCTCCTTGAATGTTTGTCATTGCCCATCATCTATCATTTCTTTCAGTAATATTTCGCAATCCATCATCGCTAACGCAGTTTCATACCATCATAGCTTCTCTTATTAGGATTCAGGATCCTAATCTCAGAATCAATTACCTCACACTTCTTCTTGAAAAAGATTTCTATCATATTATGGTCATTCATTCACAAGGGGGTCTCTCAACACCACATTACCAATTATTCTTTCTGCAATGTATAATACCCAGTCTAAGATGGCTGTTCTTTCATTGGTTCCTCAACATATTGGTCCAGAAAATCATTCCGTCTACACTCTAGGAATTCCTCCTTTTTGGTATCGTGACTGATTCGCTCAATCTACATGCAGGCTAAAGAAACCCATAATTACAGAAGTTCCTTCACCACATGCATCTCTGATTTCCTGTTTAATGCCATTCCCAACATCAAGGTCTGGTGTTCTATATACCACTCCTGCCTATCTTAGGAAATTTCAGGCAGCTCTAGTACTAAAGATTACAGTATGAAGATACTTTACATTACAAATACCGATCCTATTAATACATCAGCAAATTTCAGATTGAGATTCATTATGAAAATGCACACAGTACAATATAACTACATTTAAAAGGATACAGAAATGCTTTGGAGCACATTTCCATCAGACGCAGCATCAACTTACAGCCCCCCAGCACTTTCAGCGACATCCACTCCAGGACTGGTTGGCTGGGGATATATTTCGTCTTAGTATTTTGCATCTCAGACATTCTGTTACATTTTTAGAGAAGATCAAAGTCACAAGATGAAATTCATAAGTAATAGGAGAAGGAGTAAACAAACTATGTACTCAGCCGGCTCAGCTTTCAATAAGGTCATGATCTGTTGATCTTCTGCCTTGTCCACTATCTAGATCCCTTAATGCTCCAAGACACAAAATATATCCACCAACTTTCAATATAATCAAGGATAATGAATCCCTTTGGATTAGAGAATTCCAAAGAATCAAGTCTGTGTGAACAAATTTCTCATCAAATCCAAATGATTCAGCACAAGGCTGTGACCCTTTGTTTCATATTTCCCCAGTCAAAGGAAACAGCTCTTTAGTATTTACCCCACACCAAGAGAATTCTTTGGAATCTGTTTCAATGAAATGACCTCTAAATTCAAGTCTAGACCAATTTACTCGGCTTCTCATCACAGAACCAATTGGATGAAACTTTGATGTATTGCCTCCAAGACAAGTATATTCTTCCTTAGATAAGGCACTAAAACTGCACAATCCTCCATCTAGGGTCTTACCAAAGCCCTATACAATAATAGCAAGATTTCTTTATTGTTATATTCTATACCCTTGCAATGAAGGCCAATAATTCCATTTGTCTCCTTAATTGCTCACTGTATCTGCATGCTAATACTATGTTCACGAAAAGCATAGAAGTTGTGGTATATATTGGTGATAACAACATAATGAGGGAAAGGGTTAATCCTGTGCAGTGTGGAAATAAAAGGTTAAAAAACAGAACCTCAAAAGTAGTCCTGAAGAAGGGTAATACCCAAAATGTTGACTGCTCCTTTCCTCCAGATGCTGCCTGGCTTGCTGTGTTCTTCCAGCCTCCTGTTTGTCTACCTCAAAAGTAGTAATCTCTGGTTTACTCCCAGTGCCAAGTTCTAATGAGGGAAAGAAGGAAAGGATAGGGCAGAAAAATAAAATCGATGGCTGAAGAGGTGGTGGCGCAATGTGCAGGGATTCAGATTCTTATCATCGGGATCTCTTCTAGAGTAGAAAAAGCCTGTTCAAGAGGGATGGGTTTCACCTGAACTGGAAAGGTGAGGAGTTCAAAACTAGGGGGCATATTTTAAAGGTCAGAGGAAAAAGATTGAAAAAGGACATGAGGGGCAACCTTTTGCACAGAGAGTGGTTCGTGTGTGGAATGAACTGCCAGAGGAAGTGACGGATGCAGGTACAGTTACAACATTTAAAAGACATTTGGACAAGTATATGAAATGGAGTGAGAGAGAGATAGTAGGAACTGCAGATGCTGGAGAATCCAAGACAACAAGTTGCAGGGCTGGATGAACACAGCAGGCCAAGCAGCATCATAGGAGCAGAAAGGCTGACGTTTCAGGCCTAGACCCTTCATCAGAAAAGGGGGAGGGGAAGGAGGTTCTGAAATAAATAGGGAGAGAGTGGGAGGCGGATAGAAGATGGATAGAGG